AGACGAGAGGCTCGGGGGGTCCCGCACCGCCCCCAGGTGTCTCAGTGGCGAAGTGATCCCGCATCCCTCTTACTTCCCTCGTAGAAGCACGCAGTGGGAGGGGGGCGGCTGCTGACTGGACGTCGGCTCTGTTCTGTCCCGAGCTCGTAGGGCGTTGAGCCGGCAAGGTCTGCAGGCTAGCTGAGGGGCCTTGGTGGGGAAAGGGTGGCCGGGGAAGCTTGCTGGTCCCCAGCACAGGGAAATAACCTGCTCCTGAAGTGGGGACCGTCCTCAGGATAAGTGTCTTCAACTGTAGTTCTCAAAAACGTTCCCCATTTCTCTGGATTTTATCCCAAGTCTTGCGAAAAGGCCGCAAATTCCGAGGCTGTTGAGTGGGTAAAAGACAAAGGAAGAAGCTGAAGATCTGCTTCCTGATGATCGTGAGAGTCATGCTGCTCTGATGGTACTTTAGGCAGAACGCTTAGAATGAGAATTACCTTTATCTATGGCTGAGATACTTGATAATGGCGACTTTGATGATACAACGGTTACTTTTTTCAGAAAGCTGCCCTTACTCCTCCAAAGCAAAAAAAAAAAAAAAAAAAGTTACGTTGTTTGAAGTTCAAAGTGAAGGTCTGAGTTGTAACTATTCCCATTATACTACCACTTTCTCAATTTCCAGATTAAGTGGCTATGCTTGTGGGATAGAGAAAAACTTGCCACGGTCTGAAGGAAAAGGTCGATTGTATCTTTTTCCTATATGAAGTTGGCAGAACATCATTTAAACAAACCACTGTGTTAGAGGTCTCATGCTACTTTAGTAGTGACTAAAAGGTCACTTTTTACTTTCTTGACTTAGTTACGGAATAAGTGTCTTGTTTCCATCACAGACTGAAATCTAATCGGGGCAAAAAGATGTGTTACTAATTGATATATGGTGATACCGTTGTTCTGTATCTGCCTAGAACTGAGGAGTAAATGAGAGCGGAGTTCCATGGCATGACTTGGCTGCTGCCAAAACAGCCCTGCCAACCTTTGCTAAGCTACCACTTTTCTGACCTCAGTAGTGTCCTCCATCTTGCCATTCTTTTTCTGATCAGTTAGTTTCGCCAGGTTAGTTAGCTGAACCAGCTTGGAGAGAAGAGTGAGGATTGGCACAGATTGTATTTTTTAGTAGCAGCAAGCCATTACTAGCTTAGCTAGGCTGAAACCTGATCCTAAATTAGGTCACTTTATCTCAGGTTTCTGAATCGGAGGTTCTTGGCACATTTTCTTGGAAACCTGAATCTCCCTGAAGTTGGAAAGGTAAAACTTTTTTTTCTTTCATTTATTCAGTTACTGCTGCGTCTGCTATTGCCAACATTGTGAAGAGTTCTCTTGGGCCAGTTGGTCTGGATAAGATGTTGGTGGATGATATTGGGGTAAGTAAGGTTTCATTAAGTGTCAGGGGGACTTTTACAACATTCCTGTGTAAAAGTGCTTCCACTTAGTGTGCTTCATAGATCTAATGTGCACATACCTGGTTTTTTCCATGGTTCTGAGAGGGGGTGGGAGGAGAACCTTAGTAAAATTGAGCATGCTAGCTATCAGGTAATGTATGCTACATCGCTTTAATTTAATCTAGTACTGTAGTTTGTGTAGTACAGTTGTCTCCGTACAGTGCATGTAAGTTCTTGTCACCATTTACAAGTATTGGTCGAATTCACAGGAACGAGTATCACCATCGATGTCGGGCCTTGTGATGGTGTTGACTTGTGTATCCCAATCTCTACATTGGGAGGAATAACATAAAAATGAATTCCAATAATTCCATAACCATTTTAAAGCAACATTCCATGTTTCAGGTTTTAAAATATTTAAAGCAAATGAGGAAAGTTTGCCATTTTACAGGCTGCTGTAATAAAACACTATATTAGAGGGTATTCTCTGCACTACTACTTATCTGGTATGTGCAAAACGTTTGATGAGTTTCTGTAACGTAAAGACTTTTCTGATAAACAGAAAGTGCAGATTCTGCACTGGTACTTCTGTTGTTCGAATGGGACTCCTGAACAAAAAGCAGCAGTAAACATTTGGTATAAATAGTTATTTTATGGGCATTCACAAAGAATAATTAACTTTCATTTGCATAAACATTATGAAACACAACAGTAAAAACATAATAGAAATACACTTTGTATTAACATTTGGTTTCTGAAAACTAGGACGTGACCATTACTAATGATGGTGCAACCATTCTGAAACTGCTAGAAGTGGAACACCCTGCTGCAAAAGTTCTTTGTGAGCTGGCAGACCTGCAAGACAAAGAAGTTGGTGATGGGACAACATCAGTGGTACGTAGAAAGTTTTACAGGCAGATAACACCAAAAGTCAGTGTTTCAGTATCACAGTGCAGCTTTTGATTTATCCGTTACAAATCTTGATGCAATGTGGATCTACTATACAGAATGAAAAACCTTGCAGTTGACTGAATATAAAGTTTTTTGAAGTAGGTTACAGAATAAAGAAATTAGACTTGTGGTTTTTCAGAGATGCTTGTTTCCATACGCAGCTGGTGCTCTGGAATGGAATTTGCTTACTGCAGTTCCATTATTTATTTTTTCCTTTCTTGAAGGTTGAGGATAGATTCTGAATTAAGGTTCTTAATTTTTAACAACCATGAGGAATTAAAGTGTTAGGACTAATAAGGGTGCTGAGTGTTGAAAACTTGCCTAAGACTTTTGACAGCTGGGGGGGGTGGAATCAGGTGGCTTTTATCTGATGTCAGAAACTATAATGCTAGGTTGCGAGTACTTGTTTCCACTGAGTAGACATTGGACAACTACTTGTGATTCTACTTTCCACTTAGTGGCAACAGGTAGTTATTTTGCTTGTATGAAATAAATGTATTTAGTGTTTGTATTTCAAACAGGTAATTATTGCTGCAGAACTTCTAAAAAATGCAGATGAACTAGTGAAACAGAAAATTCATCCTACCTCCATTATTGGTGGATACCGACTTGCTTGCAAGTAAGAAACTAATACAGTTGAAGTACATTGCGTTTTTTAAAGTACAATAACTGCACGCTTTTTGTTTATTTCTGTATTTGTGACTGCATTAATGCAGACTTCTCAGTGCAAAGTGGATACGGTGTTTTGGTTTGGGTGTGTGTTTTGGGCTTTTTTTGTTTGTTTGTTTGGTTGGTTTTTTTTAATTTATTTTGAATTTCTGTAGTCTCACATAGAAATGTCACTTTACTGTCCTAGAAGATGAATTGATTTAATCCCTGTGTTCTTTGAGATAACGTTTAGAAGGGCTGAAAACATTAAGATTTTTGTCTTTGTGGGGGTGGAATTCTTTACCAGTATTTATCTTTATTCTACAGGGAAGCAGTTCGCTACATCAATGAAAATCTTATTATTAACACAGATGAATTGGGCAGGGAGTGCCTAATTAATGCTGCTAAAACATCAATGTCCTCTAAAATTATAGGAATGTATCCTTTAACTCCATCAAATTATTCAAGTGACAGTGATTGATTGGAGAGCTTGAGTAGCCAGGCTAGTTTCCTCTGCAGCAGTTTTTATGAATGGGGTGTAGTGTGCAATCTGTCGTTTTTATAACGGGTGTGAAAAACATTTCACAGATATTATTATGTGGCATGGGAAAACATGTCCGGTCTCTTCCAGTTTATTTAGACCTGGTTAGGCACATCACAATAGCTTAACAGTGTATTGTTTCCTTACAACATTGCACGTTAGTGAGACTAGATAAGGAATTGTGTGAATGGAAGAACGCGTTACAGAAGTCAAGTACCCGGGGAGTGAAACTAGGGGAAAGAAGGTTGCGTTTTACTTCATAGTCATAGAAAAAGCTGCATTTTTAGCCTTTGTGCCAACAAGGGAATGCATGTTTCACCTCTAAGAATTACTCATTCCTTTAAGGGAATGGTAAAGAAAGCTAGCACTTCTATACCTTTCTGGAGTTCTTTGTTGGAAACAGTTTTTGAGTCTCAGTTTGGGCACTGTCAGCAAATTTTTTTTTTCTTAAGCATAATACTAGTTTTCTTCTTCAGTTTTAACCTTAACAGCATTGTAGTGATGGTGATTTCTTTGCTAATATGGTGGTGGATGCTGCACTGGCAGTTAAATATACAGACCAGAAGGGTCAGGCTCGGTATCCAATCAACTCGGTTAATGTTTTGAAGGCACATGGCCGCAGCCAAAAAGAGAGCATACTTGTGAACGGTTACGCTCTGAACTGCGTGGTGGGCTCACAGGGTAAGAACCTGCTGTTTCATAAAGCTTTTGTGTGAACTCAGTCCTCTTAGTCTTTCTGCGTGGATCTTCTTACTGACGGCATTGGTTGCAAATCACTTGGGTTTTTAATTCCAGAACAATTAAACAAGATCACAAAAAAACCTCGCCACTTCACCAGTGGTTTCTAGGCTAGGGTCTGCCAGCTAGTAGTGATCCACAAAGTGTTGGTAAGTTACTGTAGTTTCGCTAGCCCAGTATCAGCACGGTAACACTGTCATCTTCTGGAGCATAAGCACCTCCCTTGTGGGGAGCCACTGTCATGTTTGTAGAGCACTGTTACTTTTAGCAGAGCTGTGTTGTGATTAGGTAACCTAAAGGATGCGAGACTGATGGGTCAGCTTTCCATGCTCATTCATGTTTTGGGGATGGGGTCGATAAAAAGGTAACAGGTTAGAGTAGAGATTCCTTAAAAAAAATTCTCTCTTTGAAAGTCTTTGTTAGTGTTTTTCTGTTCTACGGCAGAACTGGAGGCAGAGAAGCAAATTGAATAGAAATCTGAAATGTGAAAGTAGCGTTAGTTTTCATCTCCAATTCCAACTTCATGTCCTGTTAACTTGATTGGGCAAAATCCTTTTTCTTGTTCTCTCTCGTCAGGTATGACCAAGAGAATAGTTAATGCGAAGATTGCATGCCTTGACTTCAGCCTGCAGAAAGCAAAAATGAAGCTTGGTGTTCAGGTTGTTATCTCAGACCCTGAGAAGCTGGACCAGATAAGGCAAAGGTGTGTGGAAGCGTGAATAACTGAGACAGTGGGGTTTCACAGGCTTGTTGTGGTCTCTTCAGTTG